ATAATAATTTTTTTGAGTTGGTCATTTTAAAATAAAAAAAAAATTAAAAAAATAAAATTAATCTGAATAAATTAATTTAATGAAGTTAGAATTTGAATATATATTTTATATTTATATTTTTATATTTTATATTTTATATTATTTATATTCAAATATAAATAATTTTACAGAATTTTGAATCTCTCCTAATATATTATGGAAATGCGGAAAGAAGTAATGTTCGTCTTAAACGATTAGAAGATATTTTGCAAGATAAGATTAAAGAAAATGATATGTTAGAGAAGGAAATAAAGAAATGTAAAAAGAATATCATAAAAGCTAAAAATGAAAGTGAACAATTAACGAAATTAACTATAAAAAGAGAGGGAGAGTTGAAATCTTTGAAAATTGTTTTAGATAACGCTACTACTTTTCTTAATAAGGCTATAGAGGTGATTATGATTTTAATAAAATTTTATTCCAATTTTTTATTCTGTTTTTCTATTCAATAATATATTTCGAAAAAAATAAATGATTAATTTTATATATAATAATTCATATACATTATATATACATGACATAATAGTAATTGCAGAGAAACACTAATAATAATGTTTTTTTAAAAAATTTAAAATTTTAAAAACGTTTAAAATGTTTAGAAGAAAAATGTTTAGAAGACATACAAATCGAAATTCCATCTGTTCTTCTGAAAAAAACAATTCTCATTTATGTTATAGATAATAGAAATTTTTCACATAATTAACAAATTTTCAAAAATAATTAAAAATAATGAAGTATTCTCCAAATCTATTTTTGGAATTAGATAATGATTATCCAAATTACAACAAACAATTATTTATTGGTACTTCAAAGTTAGAATAACAAAATATAATATACTTTCAAAGATAAATTTATTGAAACTATTAAATATTTTCATAATTTTATGAACGAAACACATGCTTCATTTTCCAAAGTATCTTATCTGAAGTACAAAAATTAAAAACTAATAACATAATAATTAGTTAATACTAATAACATAATATCATAGAATATCATTATAGATTATAAATAATATTTTTTCGATTTTTATAAATTATGAAAATGAATGATTTTATCACTATCATAATACTATATAGAAACTATATAATAGATGTTAGTATCAATAAGTAATTATAAGTAATTAATAGTATCAATAAGATAATTCTTTCCTATTAAAATTAAATTAAATATATTTTTGTTCATAAAATATTTTATTTTTGAATAAAAAATTGTGTATTTTAGAAAACCTCATATTTTTCAAAAAATAAAAATGATGTAGCATTTCATTTATATTTATTAGGATGAGAATTTCCATTAGAATCTGCAAAACAAAATTTGTATTAAATAATGAATTAATAATCATTATTATTAATAGATTTAAGTTTTGTTTTTCTTTATGCATTTTCGTTTAAATTATTTGCATGTATTATTAATATGCTATTGTTTATTTTATATTCAATGGATAAAAATGATTATAAATGATAAAATTGATTATAAATAAATAAAAATCATATAAAATTTAAATTTCTTTTTCAAATTTTTTTAATTATATATATATTTTTTAATTATATATTTTTATTTACTATATAATACTATTAATATTACATATAATATTTTTTATTATATTAGTCAATACAGTTAATTACTTTCTTTAAAGAAAAATTTTATTAATTAATTTATATCAAAGAAT